ATAATTTTTTAAATAAAATTTTTCTTATTAATAAATGAACCCTTAAACCAAACATGTTGTGTTTCCTAAAGAGGTGAGATCAATGAGTCTGCTCAGGACCACTTGAGCAGCTTTCTTAGGTTAGCTTTGCTTTGCGGGTTTAGGACCATTAGGCGCATTTATATTAGGCAACTTAACAAAATAATTAAGTAGCTGTAGTCAAGTTGGTGAAAGAATTTATTCATTAATTTATTAATTAACATTTAATTTTATTAAAAAATTAATAAAAAACAATTATTTATATTTTTTTTAATTCAATAAAAATGGCATACTTTAAATTGAATAGATAAAGATTAATTTTAAAATGTGAGTAACTTACCCACGAACACATTGCAGCTAAACAAAAATAAAAAATTGGTTTGGTCTGTTTCCAGCACATTGCATATATTAGGGGTTATTGTCTTATTGATTTATGGCCGTTAACAATTGTTAAAGGCTTGTCCTTGGTCTTTATTATACCATCAGGATTCAGGACGACGATAGTTGTTTCCATGTGTACTCTCTGAATTGAGTTGTATCTGAATCTTTTCTCCGGTTATTGTAACCCAACTAATTAATTTATTAGGGATGTCCTATTTTACCATTTGAATTATTCTTAACTATAAAATAAAACTTATTTTATAAAAAAATCTTTAATATTAAAAATTCTTTCCCATTAAATAGGTAATATTTTATGAACCTGGCCCGAAGTGGTTCTAACCACGTTTGTAAGGCTCATGTTCCCCTCCCCATGGTAACGGTTCGAACCGACCTCATGACAAAAAATGTTCAAAAAAAAAGGTAATATTTTATAATTTAAAATAATTTAAATTATGAATTATTTTTTAATTTATTAATAAAATTCGAAAAGTGAAAACATTTTAATATTTAAAACATTCATCACAATTATCCGTTAGATGAGTTTTAAGAGTAGGATCCATTCTTGCATAGTTGTAATAAACATCTTGAATAGTTGTAATAAATATCTTAAATGTTGTGACGTCTTGAATTTCATATTTTTTTATTTTTTAGTTTGTAAAATGTTTTCTAAAAATATATAATTTAATCAAATCAACCAAAGCCTTCCTTGAACCTACAAATTTATGGTTTTAAATCTAAAGGATAATTGCTAAAATTATATTTAAAAATATTTTTATTATTTAAATTATAAAATATTAATTATTGAATGACATAAAACTTTTTATAACGTGCGGCTCTCTAAAGACAAGTGAAAAGCATATTAAAGGGATGTAGAAATCCTTAGCAAAAGCCAAATTAGCCAAACAGGCAGAAACACAACAAACGGGTAGATCTCAGTTGGCACCTACCCACACATTATAGTTTCGGCTTCGAAGGACACTACTGTTTCGGCTTTGAGGAGCACTATGTACGCATGTTCATTAGTTTCCCTTCAGCTAAAGGGCCCATAGCTCTGCTCAAGCAATCAATGTCACTTTATGTCCCTGTGAAGGGTAATTCAT